TCTATATCAAGGGCATAACCATGCAGTACCAGCCGTGATCGTTTACATAATATAGTACTCATCTTAGCATGATTAAACGCTAGTGACAAAACCCAGCATTCAAGTTGTCATCCTGCTGAAGCCGCGTTCACATGAAAAATGTGCTTGCCAGCGGTTTAGGCCAATTCATAACCACACAAAGATGGCGTCGTACTCGTCACCGACGCCGAAACGGAATTAAGGCGGACCGGTTCACGCCTAGCAATCATCTTCAACTAGAGCAATGCGGCGCCTTTCTGTTTGACCGATAGAGTGTGTATACGCAGAGAGGATAACGGCCGTCGGTTAATTCACACCAACGAGTTTATTTCGAAGCGGTTTAGACTGTATGTTAAACAAAGTGCCACCTTAATTGGTTAAGAATGACGCCCTTTTTGACAGCAGCGATCCGTCTGCGTCGTGATGGCCGCCGATGGGAATGTACCCAGCTTTTCTGCCCTAGCTTCATATGGCCAAATACGACATACGCATATACGCTCTCCTATGACACTATTTGTCATAAGAAGATTCTTCCTATGACCAAGAGTATTGCTTGTATTGCTTCGTGCGATCAAGAATAAGAGTTTAACTGAGGCGAGCGATTAAATGAACGTAATTTCCCAGTGAATTTGAGCTGTAAAAGGAAACGAGTGTGACTCGCCAATATGTTGTCATAGGAAGAATCTTCTATGACAAATAGTGTCATACGGAGAAATGTATATATGCGTATGTCGCATTTCTCATAGCATGGCAAGCCAGAACATGTTGCAACATACATGGTTTGCCGCCGCATCAACATACTCCAGGAATCCCCGTGTCAGAAACCATAATAATATGCATTATATAGTGGTTCATAACGGTTTACAAGACATCAAACTTGAATTATCACATTTTTACGTATTATGATTAAACTATATAATTATGATGTTTTTGACAAGCGGACCACTACGTGGTTTGTGTACACATGTCGAGCATGCTTGCTCTGTCCCTCTATTACATGAAGCTTAATTTTGTCGTGAATGATAGTCACGGCAAATACTAAAATACCGATGTAGCCGGGTCACAGTGTCTACATTAGCAAACACCTGTTTTTCAGTAAACATTGTTAGTCATTTTTATGCCGACAATAGCATAGAACTTCCTGACGTTAGATACACTCACACCACGTATATAATATCAATATTCGGACCACACGATGCTGACCTGAAACGTATATAAAATGGGGGAAACGTGTGTAATTAGCGATTATCAAAAAAATTATAAAAGAAGTAGAACAGGCGAGAAACCTCATGGAGATAGAGTCTGCCTGAGCGCAAGGCGGCAGGAGAGAGACTGATGAGAGATGGTCACCGCTGTGTTGGTTTAAGATTATAACAAGCTAATAATTATTATCTTCATCCGCGGCGGCACAAAAGCATTTCAAATTAGGCACGAATGAGGAAGTGAATATGAATAATCTGTCAACTGTTCTTACTCTCACGATGCAAAGTGCGTGCTTGCTTGCTTGCGGTGCGGTGGTGTGCGCCGCGGAACATTTGTCCTCTCGCGCCTTCATCGCGAGTATTCAATATGCCATAGAAATAGGAGAAAGGAGAAATGATGCATTAGGGAGGCGGTTTGAGCATTAGAATCGCACCATCCCTACACCATCTACAAAGTCTGATCATTGCGCCGGTAACAAATAATGCGTAGACTGATACAATGTTGCATTGTTCCAGATAACACTGGTGCGTCTGTTGTCCAGAAACATCAAAATGATTCATCACATGATTCATCACGAGTAAAATCTCATTACTGTTGCTAGCGCCATGAAGTGTTGTGCAAAGGTAAGTGACATTTTAGACTTATGATAGCCAATATATATATAGTATATATATATGTGTGTGTGTGGGGGGGGGGGGGCGTGTGAGCTACCGTGAGTGTGGATGGTGTGTGTGTGTGTGTGTGTGTGTGTGTGTGTGTGTGTGGTGTATGTGTGTGTTTGCGTGTGTGTGTGGTGTGTGTGTGTGTGTGTGTTGTGTGTGTGTGTGTGCGTGTGTGTGTGTGTGTGGTGTCCTTTTGGTTTGTTTGTTTGTGTGTGTGTTGGTCGCATGTGTGTGTGTGTGTGATGTTCTGTGTGTGTTTGCGTCAGTAGGCTGTGTGTGTGGTGTGTGTGTTGTGTGTGTGTTTGTGTGTGTGTGTGTGTGGTGTGGTGTGTGGGTTTGTTTGTGCGTCGTGTGTGTGTGCCTGTGTGGCTGTGTCGTGTGCTTTGTGTGTGTGTCGTGTGTGTTTGTGTGCTTTGTGTGTGTGTGTGTGTGTGTGTGTGTGTGTGTGTGTATGTTTGTGGCTGTGTGTTGGGTGTGATGTTTCGCATCGAACCCCGCTATTTGACCTGCCTTACTCATCATGCAACGACATACGTACTGCGGCACGCGCATCTTTCTCACATCGAAACGTGAGTGGCCCACGAGTTAAGGGTCGCGAAGGCTGCGCGAGACACATTGCGGCAAACGTCCTGTGACTCAAACCGCCGCGGCTTGTGCTCGTGCAATGCCGTCATACGCTGTGTTCGCGTCGCTGGACCTAGACGCGCACTTGCGTCGCAGGTGGCGTCGAGGACCGTGAAGGTGCCTCACACGTGAGGTGCGCTCACGACGTAGGCTGTATCACGACGTGCAGCTGCGTTCACGAACGTAAGCTGCCGTCACCGACCGTGGAGATACGTCACGAAAAACGTAAGCTGCGTTCACGACGTGGAGATACGTCACGTACGTGAGCTGGTCCGTTCACGACTCAATGGCTGCGTCACGACGCTGAGATACGTCAAACGAACGTGAAGCATGCGTCACGACTAATGCCTGCGTCACGAACTAATGCTGTCGTCACGCCGTATGCTGCGGTCACGCGCCTTGAGCTGCATCACGAACGTTGAGCTGTGTCATGACCGTTATGCTGCACCGTCACGACCGTATGCTGCGTCATGACCGTATCCTGCCGTCACGACCGTAGGCTACTTTCGCCGACCGGTGAGCTGCGTCGAAAGGACCCCGCTGAAATGCGTCGTCGTCGTTCATCCAAACATGTATCGGCGTTCGAAACAAGTTCGTCCAGCTTCTGAGTTCAGATCGGGCGTCGACGCAAACATGGACGCGGGTCGGTTGCGTCGCATCTCGCCGAAGAAGCAGGCTGCCTCGTAGTTACGGGGCCCCCGCTGCGGCTGCAGCTCTGGCAATGTTGTCCTGCCGACGCTGCTGCTCCCTCTGCGTTCGCCCGCACTCCATGATGCCTGCCGCTGCCTCGGTACGCGGTGGGCGTCTGTGATTGCGGTTGAAGCTGCGCTGAATACTCCTCTTTTGCCGGATGTTTAGCGTGGCTGCGTCGAGGGGAATCGTGCATGGGAGGGCGTGCCCATCGCACCTGCGGTCACGCGTACGAGTCTATACCTCCGAAGAACTCGACGGACTTTGCCCTCACGTGGTGGTACGATGGGGATCAGGGATCGGTGTTGTTTGTAGAAGATATGACATCATCGGGTGATCGCGGCCCAGCGTGCCGAACGCTCTGGAGATGACCTGGTTTCAACTGGTCATCGTGGCGTGGTCGGAGGAATGCTCGATGAGCGGACACCTCCTCGCCGCGGATCTCATTCGCGCGAAGTCAGACGATGGGCGCTTCCTGCATTAGCCTGTGTTCTCTCTCTCCCAACAGGCTGCGACTTCCCCTTCTGCCTAGCGGAGTAGTCGATGATCGACACCAAAGTAGGGCGCTCGCGCTTGCAATCACAGGCTCACTGTTAGTTACCAATAGGCACATCGCAGCCACCCCCTTAGTGCGCCATCGTAGCAGGCCTGTCTACCTCGCCTGCTTCCACGAACCATCCTCCGCGCCAAGTTTTTGTCACTGCGCCGTGTGCGTGGCTGTTCGACGTCACTGTGGCGACTCTGTGCGCGGTCGCAGTCGTAATTCCGGCAGTTCTCATACCTGTAGTAAAACCATCGACGTGTTAGTGCTGGCAGAATCCTCTACGCCATCGTTTCTCGGGGTTCGCCGAGCTGAGCATACGGCACCCTCGTTTGGCGTTGGCGACCCTACCGGAGTCAGTTGCCCAGAGGGGCGCTGAGCACTTTAACCGCGGCCAGCGACGCAAGGATGACGTCATGGAGCACTGCCGGCTTGCCATGTTTTGATTAGCTGGCGCTCGGTCGGCGGCTCGGCTGTTGGCTGCTGCTGCTTGCCGTCTGTTGCTTTGCTGCCACTGTTTCGCTGCCCCTGCATGTTGCTGCTGCGTGAAGGGAGACAGTGCTCTGTTCATGTACGCCTTTCGTCCTCGACATGTTCCGTCGCTGTCGACGCCCCGCACTGGCGGGTCTTGACTGGCGGCGCGTGGGTTGTCCCGCACACCGTCGACAGTAACGCCTGCGCACCGGTGAGCTCTCCATCCCGAACTGCTCTGGCCGCCCCAGCCACTCGATCGCCTTGAACGCCGACGTGGGCCGCGGAGGCCACCAGCCTCCTCTTTCCTCCTCCTCTATCGTCTCCTCCTCCTCGCCCCTTCTCCTCCCGCGCACGGCTGAGTTCCCGCCGACGATTGCTCACCTGGAAAGAGGACTTGCGCTTGCGAACGCGGGTCGAGCTGCGTGGGTTGCCGGCACATCGTGTCGTGTCGCGACGAGGGGCGGCAGGATCGGCACCTTCTCCGCATCGAACCTCTGCTCGAGTTCCTTCGTGTCAAGGCTCACCGATCATTGTCTGCGACACGCGAGCCGTGAGACACATCAGCGTAGGACTGCCGGCGTCCCCCGCCGCCAGGGCGTCGTGCGCGCTCGGCAAGCACCCCTGGCGCGCGTCAGCTTCTCCTTCGAGAGCTTCGAAGCCGTAGCGTTGGTTCTCAGGGTTTGCTCATCCCCTTGGATAGCCAAGTGCGCGTATATATATATTATTATCATACATTATTTGGCCTGTATCAACCTGTACCAACGTCTAACTGATATTCTTGATCGGGTGGGTAATTGTCCTGGTGGGTAATTGTCCAGGGGGTAGTTGTCCTAGAATCGTATTTCCCAGCTGTACCTATGTAGCACTAGCTTCGCCACCGGATGGCGTGTTCGCCTGTAGTGGAGCAAAGGGCCACATTAGTAAAGCAATAATAGTATCAGCATAAAACATCAATTATACATTGTCTTCATGGCATTACTTCTCAGAATGAGCTGCATTACTTACAAGTAACTGCGACAGAGACTATGGCAATCGGAATTGCTCACACTAACAAGCATTAGCAGAGGCGAATAACGACAAAACAATTTGCCATTATTCACCCCCAGGTGGCATTAGTAGGTAATCGTATCTACTATACATTGTTCTGTAGAATATAGTATAGCTCAACTCATGCCTTAGTTACGCTCATAGGGTCTATGTCCCCCAGGGTACTATCGGAGGGTACCCAGGGTACGGTCCGATATATCGGAACGTACCCTGGTTACTATCTAATATGGTTAGGGTTAGGGTTAGGATTAGGGTTAGGGAGTAGGCGTAGGCGACTCCCTAGACTCGTTAGTGGAGTAGGCGAGGTACGGTCCGGCATACAGTACCCAGGGTACGTTCCGGCAGTACCCTGGGGGACATAGACCCTCTCAGCCAAACTAATATTACGTAATTTTGTGAACGAATGGGTGTTTAGTGTTTTCACTCAGAGTTGGATGCTCAATTTTTGTAAAATAGGATGTATGTAATAAAAATACAGCCAGATTCAAACATGTCCAGCAGATCATCTTTGATACATTCAACATACTGCAAGACATTCTTTGGTTCGTTCAATGCCTAGTTCATTCTATGAGTATAATTCTTTTTTATTGCTTACCACATTGATATCGCATTGTATTTATGCGTATGAATTGCAATGTATAGTTCAACCGATATGTAGCCCTCTGATAAGCTTAATTGTTGACTTAAAAATCAATACCAAAAGATGCCATTGTAATGTAGATAGTTATAATTACCTCCGCCAAGAGGTTGGCAG